AGATCTGGTGTCCATTTCTAAGGCCATGAGAGAGAGGAGAGAGGAGAGAGAGAAGAAGGGAGGAGGGAGAGAGGAAGAGAGGGGACATACAGATACATAGATAGAAAGACAGAAAAAAGAAAAAAAAAGACCTTTTGGGCAGTTGGGCAGCTGGGAACACAGCTTAGTGAAAGAATGCCTATCTAGTATGCATGAGGACACAAGTTTTAGACCAATGCACACGCACAGACACAAAAGCTCTTAAGATTAAGAGTTACAAATGTAACCAAACAAACACATGAAATTTCATTCCCATAGTTTCTTATAAACACCACCAGAAAACAAAACAAGACAAGATAATCAACAGAACAAAAACGGTATCTGCCTGCATCATCTTCTTCTATGTTACAGACTTTCTTCTCCTCCCTCAGGCTCGTAGCCACAGCATTCCACAGTCCACACACTCAATGGCTCTACTCAGCCAGCACCACCTTCCAGCCGTAAGCGCCTCATCACTCTGCCCTCTAAGACTCGGATAAGCAGCTTCCTCAAGCCTTCATTTACCATTTCCTTAATCCTAGAATATGGTAAAGAAAAACAAACTAACAAACAAACAAAAAGTCATGAATGAGATAGGATTAAGTGAAGCAGATCAAATACTGCAATCTGGAAACAGTGGTTCATTGTGTGCATCAAAACCACAAAAACCAAGTATATATGTAAACCACAAAGAAACATCACAAAAACTCCAGATAGGATACACAAGTCAGATGTTATTCCATAATAATGTAGCAAAACTAAAAACATGAATTCATCCTAAAATAGAAATAATGAAAACCCCTAGTGCTGGAATTTATTTATTTATTTTACAACTTTAGGTCTAATGGGAAAGAAACATAGATTGGAGAGATTTTAATTGACTGGATTAATTATTTGGAAGAAAAATGAAAACTTTTGTTAGTGTCATGCGGACATGAAAAAGTATCATTTAAAAGACAGAATCCTGAAAAGCAAAAAGTAGAACTCCAGCATTATAAACAATGTCAACATAGCAATTCCGATTCATCATACAAGTCTACCAAGGGCATCCATGAATATGCCCAAAATGATAAAAAAATAAGGCTACTTTCCCATATTATTCATACATGCATAAAGAGAATTAACAGGACTAGAGTGTGTATGGGTACCAGAGCCTCCTACATTGAAGGACCACCGAAATCTAGAAGTCAGAGAAAACCATGGAAAGCCAATAGGATAGAAAGAATCCGTGAAGAACACTAAGAGTACTCCCAGTAAAAAAGGCGGAGGCGCTTGAACATGGGTCAATAATGAAAGATCTGGGGTAAAAGAAATATCACTTTAACGTGTGACTAGGAAGGACATCAGGAACATGGAAAAGCCAAGGACTGTCACCAGCTGCCGCTGGACAAGGTGTGTAAGTGGGGAAAGCAATGGCAGTCAACTTCACCAACATGCAGGAAGGGATTCACGGTTATCACCCATATAAACACGAAAACTATACACAACATTCCAAAAGGCTTGGAAGAAATTATTTAAATTGATAAAAAGTATTTTAAGAAGTTTTAATTTTGATCTTCAAATTTTAAAAAAAATGAAACAATGCTGCTTATGCCCTAAGGAACAAACCTTGGTCTTGCCGTCCCAAGGCACGAAGAGCCTCCGCACATGACTGGTCCCCATACACAAGGCTCCAGAAGGGACGATCCACCCTGTGGAGATGGAGCCACAGTGGAACGCCACTGGGTAGAAGGGGAGTGATGGCAACGCCCACATCTTGACTGGAGTGACTGTTGATGTACTTATACAATTTATAAGCATTCATCAAGTAGCACACTCACCACACCAATGCACCACATGCAAGTCCTACCTCAAACTTTAAAAACAAAATAAAGCGATATAAATCCCACAATCCCCATGAGTGTGGTAAGGATATTTTTAGCTCACGAACTCTACCAGGTGAGAATAATGACTATTTCTAATTAAAGATCATTAAATTAGACTTACTATCATAATTAAAGTCTAAAATTAAAGGATTAAAAACATGAGTTTGCTATTTTAAGATAATTAAACCCAGGACGCATTACCATCCCTACATGCCACACCCACGGTGTTTTGTTCCCTAACTAAAATGGCTGGACTCAAATACAGATTGACCACACCTAAAATACTAACACAAAAAGACGTACCAAACAGTACCACTGAAAAACGGATTTAACACTGACTAATACCATGTGTTGTTTCCTCTAGAAAGCCTTTTAAACTCAACTACATTAATTAGAAGGAAAAGTAAAACAAACAGAACAAGACTGCAAAAAACAAAACAATAAATGAAAGTCATGGGACTGCAGGCATTCATTCTTAAGGATCAATATTTGCTTCACAAATAACTTAAACGATACCCAAGTGACCATATTGCAGGTCATGTCCTTCCAACTTCAGTTCTGTGAGAATACTCGATTGAGACTCTCTTTTTTTCTAAGGTCCTACAGACACATGCACAGATGCACTTGTGCCCAGGTACGCATGGTGTCTGGCAGCTTTATAATGGCACCCCTGTGGTTTGACAATGTCTGGTAATGTGCAGATGTAAAAACCCTGTTTCATTATTAGGTGCAGAATGTTTTTCACCATCCAATTATAAAACAATGTCAGGATTCAGGTTACTGGAAAAGGTTTGAACATGCTTCAGGCTGATGAATACTGAGGTCTATTGAATGAAGCAGACTTAATATCTGTTTGGAGATGATGCAGTGTTTTGAATAAGGACCTTGACACCGCAGGCTATGGGAGAATCTCAACATTGGGCAAGGGGAGCACTGTACAAATACATGTAAAATTTCAAAATATGCAATTATAGAAAACAATTCACTACCTATAGAGACGGCAAAAGACTTTATAGATTTTTGTTTTTCTTATGCCTGAAATTCTGTTCATAAGGGGAAAAGAGGAGGCCTGGGGATGCATATGCATATTCAGAGTGTGTCAGCAAGCTCTTAGAAATCTTAGAATGCTGTCTGGAGAAAAAAATAATAACAAAACTCCAACAATTCTGAACAGGAAGAAAGAACAATTTCACCATTCTGTCAGTGAATTTACTGCAACTGGGATACATCTCTTCACAAACACCTCTGACATTCACGGTAGCAACAATTTGTACACTAAAAGTACCCTGATTTTATTTTATTCACAAAAGTAATTTTTCTACTTAATGTTATTTACAAAACTTATAATTTCTTCTCATGATAAATTTTATATTACACATTTGTGATGATGAAAATATTCAATAACTTATGCTGTCCAAACTGTAAACCCCCATCAAAGCACCAAAGCACTAAGCACCAGCAAGATAATTAGGAGGGATAAAGACTTAATCTCAAGATGTGACTAGGTTAACTAATCTAAGTTTACATGGCCACATTTGGCTGACTGCTACATTATACAAACAGCACAGCCCCCCAGGACAGGCATGACTGCAAGTCTAGAAGTTTATCATTGCTCATCTTTTCCAAGCATCCCTGTGATCCCACAAACAGCATCTAACTATGAGCCTCCAGCAATGTGAAATAAAATAAACCAACAGATGGCCATGAGAAGCATGGGAATAGCAATCACACAGTCTTAAAAACAAAACATACATACATACATGCATACATACATATATATATATATATATATAATTTTCCCTAGAGTTACTTCTAGTAACAATCATTAAGGCTTTTAACTCATTTTTCTCCTCTAATGTTAACATCTTTGCACAAGTCATAGCATGTTTTTTCTGAAACATTCCTAGAAAAACTAGCTACATCATTTAGCCTTGGAACTGGAACATCAGCCCTGGATTTTTCTTCTCCTTTAAAGTTTTCAGCATGCATCTCCTCCTTGTCATAACTTAGTTCCTATTGCCCCAGGGCTGTGCTTCTTACCCAACACTGCTGTGGAGAACCATTTTCGTACCTCTTTCTGTATTCTCTCTTTTCATTCTTTTCTTTTATCTGGCTTTCCTGGGAGCTAATTCTTACTTCTCATATCCTTTCCTTCCTCTTACACTGATGACACATTATCCTGAAGCTTTGTTTCTGTGTTTAACTGCTCTACTTGTTAAAAAATCCTTCTGAAACGGGTTTAATAAACGTCAGAACTTCCCTCTGTCCTGTTTCTGGAGACCAACACGCATTCATCTGCAGAAGACGCGGGGTAAGATGATGATGAAAAGCATATGGACACAGACAAGAATAATAGTAACGGCCAAGTGGGAGGAGGCTTAGGACCTCACCCTTTTGGTTCACATTTATAAGCAGTGAAAAGCCTATTAACTGTTATGATAATAGAATCAAATATACTATGAGGTGAAGACAGAGGAAGGTACATTATAATAAAGCCTAGATAGCTGGTCTGATACTACGAGTATACACCATATATTTTATGTTGTTAAGAAAAGAGAATGGTAATCACTGGGTATATTGTTCTGAAATGACATCGCACACAGAAGCTGTTCATCCATTTTAAATATACTCATAAATAATCCACAAGGAATTCATGAGATAATACTAGAAAAGCATAACTTAGGACCCAATTTATAGCATCAACTCTTAGGATGCTTTTTAGGTATTAGCAAACCTGAAGGACATTAGGCCTGGACCCTCATTGATAATCAGTGAAGTGTAAAGCCAAGGACAGCAAATGCAGGATTCCAATTACTGGTGAGAAGAATGAGACCAGAGTCCTATCTCTAGCCCTAGGATGAAATAGTGACTTCCTTACAACCTGGGAAGTCTTTCACTGATAGCTACCTGAGTCTTGGTCCTGAAGCCTGAAACTTTATAGGATTACTGTTATTAATAGGACAACCATTACTATTACTATGAAGTTGGGTACTTCATGCAACATTGTTCCCTGCCGATCACCTGGAAAGGAAGGCTATCTTTGCAAAAACTTTAGAAAGAGTATCAAACCCACCTAAAGTGCAGATGGGGAGGAAGCAGTGCCTTTGCCCACTGTCATCCTTTGGGAATGCTGCACTTTACTCTGCAATGAACCTTACCTACATCACCTTATGTTCTGTGTGTCCTCTGAATTCTTCCAACGGAGATTACAAACACAGAGAGAGAAAGGGGAGGCTAGAGCAAGAGTCCCGTGACATCAACTACTGCCACTTCTGAAAGTCCTAAAGAGGGAACGATGACTGCTGGCGAGGGAGATGTCACATGCCACAAGCAGTCTACTGTAGTTTGCTCTCTGTCGCTTTGATGAAGACCCTGACCAAAATCAACACAGTTGGGGGGGGGTTAACTGGCTTAAAGGTTTCAGTCTACCATCAAGGAAGCTAAGACAGGAACCTAGAATTTGTAACTGAAGCTGAGACCACAAGAAACACTGCTTGCTGGCTCAATCGACTCAACATTCAGCTACCATTCTTAGATGGAGTAGACCTACCTGGCCGGGGATGGCAGTGGCTGGCTGGGCCTTCCACATCATTTAGCAATTAACACACCCTGCAGACATGAAACAGATCTTATGAAAAGAAGCTGGGCTTTGTTGGGAAAAGAGTCAACCCATCAATGAAAGAGAATGGACTTGGAAACTGAGTAAAGTGTGTAAGGGAAGAGAGAGTGGCCAGAGTGTGGAGGGGACACTTAGGAAGAAGTGCCCAGGACAGCAACGAACACACGCACGGGAGATGGCTGAGGCGGGGGCAGTCAGCCTGGATGAGAAACTGAGTATAAGGAAAATGAAATTCAATGTGACTGAAGCGTCGCAGTAAGTACTATGATAGGAGATGTCAATCGGCAAGTAAGTTGGCATACCCCACAGCCATGTCCACAGGCTAATCCAATGGAGCAATGCCTCGCCCTCTTCCCACATGTGTCTAGTTTGGTGTCAAGTCGATCAGAAGTGTTACATGGTATGGCAGATGAAAGGCAGCAGGAAGGAAACCACCGTGGGACGCGCAACAGTCTATGAGACTGAAACAGTGACACACAGTAGGGAACGGAGGACATTCAGAGAGGAGAGAAGGGATCGGTTGGTCTGAAGGCATTACGAAGAACGAGGCAGAAGGAAAGAGAGAGCTTCAGAGATGAGGCAGTGTTTCCATCAGTAAAGGCAGAATGAAAGACTGGGGACACATTTGATCAGAATATCTAAAACACACGGAATCCCATCTGTGAGCACGTCTTTGCTGGGCATCTGGCGCAATCCGCGCATGCCAGATGAGGCCCTCCAGCATCTTTCAAGGGGAGACGCTGAGGTGTGCCTTGCTAATGAGAAGCCTAACTATACAAGGCTTAGGAATACAGTTTTAGAATCGCGTCTCTTTTATGGTTAAAAACTGTATGATTTTGCCTACAAACAATCGGGTGGGAAAAAGTGTGTGTGAAGCAATAATAACTCCAGTTAGCAGCTAAAGACAGATGGCCCGTATGTACAGATAAGAATGGAAACTCCCTCAGCACTTTTGTCCATTTAAAGGAACCTAATAACTTACAAAGATATACTTTTTAAAGAATAATGGTATAAATATGAGAATGACATTTGTAAGCAACTTTTAGTAAAAAAGAAAAAATTAACAGCCATATTTACATATAAATGCAAAAAACCAAACTGAATAAAAAACCTGCTTTGTTCAACATTGCCTTTCCATAAAGCTGTACAGTTTAATTGAAGTCAAGACAAATTAATAAACAGGCAACAACTACTCACATGCTAAGATTTTAGAAGTCAAAATTAGTTATCAGTAAGACACATGAATAATATGCACTATGTTGCTCCAAAACAAACACTACACACACATCGTGTGTGTGTGTGTGTGTGTGTGTGTGTGTGTGTGTGTGTGTGTGTGTTTGTAATACTTTAGGGAAACCTGACAGTATCAGCAGCTACTAATAAATCTTTAGCTATTACTTGAAATATATTATCTTTTATAATTGCACCTTAATTAAAAATGTTACATACAATTGTGTTCATGAAAGTCTTGCATTCACCTTAAAGTTAGGATTCAGGATTCTCTTTTATGTACACCATTAACTGGGATACTGAGATAATCTGAAGGATTTGCTTTCTATACCTGCTTTTTGGATGCACATATTAATGCTAAAGACACTGGACCCCAAGCACTGCAATTTTAACCACTGCAATTTTAAACATGACAGAATGCAAAGACTTACGCCTGGCAGTACTTCACCACTTGAAAAAGAACAGTGGATCAGAAAAGTTGACAGTCTTACAGTTTGTCTACTCAGCTTTGTTAAGTGCCTAAAACTAGTGAAGAATAATAAAAACTAGATCACTAGACTCCTTTATACACTACAATTACTAAGTTTTCAAGCAAAGATACATTGTATACACACATGAAATCTTCAAAGAATAAAATACAAAGGGACATACTTCTGGTAATAACTTGTTTATACTCTAACAAACAAAGTTTGCCAGAAGAATAGAGAGCAAACTAGCTACTAGTTATCCAGAGGTCTGGAGGTCTTCAGAGACAGACAGCAAGAGACATGGCTGGGCGGAGAGAGGAACATAAGGCAGGAGGACAAAGGAACTCTGTCTCTTCCAGCTGAGGAGCTAGCAATGTTAAGAGTTGGCTGTGGCTTGATCTTTTCTCTCTCTCCCTGATCTTTCAGTATCTGCCCTGATATCTGGCTACAGGTTTTTATTATTAAGACCAATTAAAACTCGTGTTATACAAGCTTCTACCAAAATGGAACTACAAAGATGCATTCACTTTAGAACTGGCATTCTAAAACACTTACACCTAGCTTCATGTTTTGTTGTGAAATACTCAAAGCTTGCCCGAGAAGCTTGGAAGAGCATTGGGATACAGTGCAGCCATAACTCCCTAGATGCAGCTCTGTAAATCACAGTACACCGTATGCATATTTTTCAATAGAACATTTAAGGATAGCCTTGAAGCTGTTTTTCAGGTAAAACTCTGGCATATGTATAATAAACACTCATTTGATTAGTTAAAAACCTAGAGGAAATTATTTACTAAAGGCCTAACCATTTTATTTGGAGAAGAGTCTTATAAACCAGGGTGGAATCTCAGATCTGCCATGTGTCCACTGTGTTGCTGTGTGACATTGAGCCACTCCTTTAACTTCTCTTCACCTCAATGTCCTCATCTGTCACATGGACTCATGGGAACACCTACTTCTCGGTCTAAGAGTTAAATGAGCCAGCCTACAGAACAATTTCAGAACCAAATGGCAGAGGGCAGACATTATAAGTCCCCAGTCATCTGTGACACTGAACTGTCACAGTCAGGATCCTCACCCAATACAAGGTGGTACGATTGCTGCTTCTACACAAATGTGAGTGTACAAATTTTTCAAGGCTTTCCTCAGTAAATAATAGTAGGTTTGCCATTTTGGACAAACAATCTTTCATAACCTTCATCAATGAAAACAGTCAAGCAGTAACACTGGAGTGAACTCTGAGAATTATAGGTCGAACTTGGGATTTAACTGGGAAAGTAACTGTGTGCACATATAAAGGCTTTAAACAGTTTAAAAAAACACTACATATGACTTGAGCTAAGTACATGCAAAGAGGCTTTCTTCTTTCTATGATATGTCTAAGAACCACATATCCGCATTATTTACTATTGTCTCTGCTACTGTTATATTGCTGTGAAGAGACTCCATGACCAAGGAAACTCCTTTTTTAAATTTAAATTGGAAACAATCTTCTTTTACATGTCAATTCCAGTTCCTTCTCCTTCCCCTCCTCCCCTGCCTCCCACCAACCCCTTATCCCATACCCTTTCTGCTCCCCAGGGAGGATGAGGCCTTCCATGAGGGATCCTCAAAGTCTGACATATCATATGGAGGAGGGCCTAGACCCTCCCCCATGTGTCTAGGCTGAGAGAGTAACCCTCTATGTGGAGTGGACTCCCAAAGTCCATTCGTACACTAGGGATAAATGCTGATCTACTACCAGAGGCCCCGTGTATTAACCAGACCTCCAAACTGACATCCTCATTCAGGGGGGTCTGGATCAGTCCTATGCTGGTTTCCCAGCTATCAGTCTGGGTGGGGTCCATGGGCTCACCCCTTGTTCAGGTCAGCTGTTTCAGAAGGAGTGATGAGCAAAGAAAGGGGTCAAGACCAGGCTGGAGAAACCCACAGAGACCCAAGTCAACTCTTATAAAGAAAACATTTAAGTGGAGGCTGGCTCACAATTTCAGAGGGTTAGCTCATTACCATCACAATGGGGCACATGGCAGCAGGCATGCTCCTGGAGAAATGCCTGAGAGCTTTACATTCTGAGGCAGACAGTGAGCAGAGAACTTGGGCCTGGCGTGGGCATTTGAAACCTCAAAGGTCCCCCTCAGTCATATACCTCCTCCAACAAGACCATATCTAGTCCAGCAAGGTCACACCTCTTAACGCCTCCAAATAGTTCATAAACTGAAGATGAAGCATGCACATATATAAACCTATAAGGGCATTTCTCATTCAAATCTCTAGAGCTCTCTTATGCCTTTTGTTTCTCGGATACAACAAATCTTGCAGGTCGTTTCAAGGCCTTTGCTCCCATGAATTCATGGTAAGAATTAGGGACATAAGTGAAGTCTTGTTTTCTAAACATGTATGGCCAGATTCATCCATTGTAAAGACTCACTTAATTGTGATCTCTTCAGAAAGCAAACTCTGATCACCTTTACTGCCTCTAGATATGCTCCTATGGCTTTTTTCTTTTGTCTTTGTTTTAGTTTTTCAAGACAGGATTTCTGTGTATTGTTTTGGACCCTGGCCTAGAACTTGCTCAGTAGACTAGGCTGGTCTCAACCTCACAGAGATCCGCCTGCCTCTGCCCCCGAGTGCTGGGATTAAAGGCGTGCACCACCAACGCCTGGCACCATGGTTCTTTTTAATGACCACCAACTCTTCCATTTCCCATCAATAAACTAGAGGTTCCATGGGAGCACAATTGTCTCAGCTATTAGTGTAGAGCTAATACTAGTTATGTCTACTCCGATTAAAGCAGTGATGGCTAAATATTCTTTACAGTCTTAAACAATAATAAAGCTCTTTCAACTCACAAAAAAGCTTTACTCAAATAATTTCTTTGTCAAGAACACACAGCATTAATATATTTCAGCAATGCCCTGTGCAGCCCTTGAGAAGGACAATGGACTCATCAAAGCCCGTCATGCAGCTGCCCACGCAAGGCCCAGCAGCCACATGAACATGCTTACCATCTTTACACTAGCCATCAAAGGTCAGATGATCATTCCTCATTGTATTCATCTAAGATCAATTCAATACCTCTAAGCAGTGACTACAAGTTTATACCTTACTCTACCGAAAAGGAAAATATTTCTATTGTGCTTGAGTTTAAACTTCTATTATATTTCAGATGTTATTAGCAGGATCAAACATGAATCACTATCAATAAATTTGCCAGTTTGTGCTGAGTATCTTTTTTTTCCTTTGTACTCCAGCTGCACAGGTAACACAAGGAAACTTGTTAGCAGACACACAAA